GCGCCCCGAGGGGGCCGGGCCGTGCGCGGGCTGCGGCCCTGCTCCGCGCCGCCAGCCGCCGCCCCTCCGCCCGCCCCGGGGCTCCCCGCGGGCACCATGCAGGCGCAGCAGCTGCCCTACGAGTTTTTCAGCGAGGAGAACGCGCCCAAGTGGAGGGGGCTGCTGGTGCCTGCGCTGAAAAAGGTAGGAGCGCCGACCCCGCTTCCCGGCCGCAGTCCGCGCGGGGCCGGGCGGGGAGGCGGGGCGCGCTCCGCCGTCTTTCTTCCCGGTCTCGGGGCTCCGGGACGACTGCGCGGGCTGCGAGCTTCCCCGCGCCCGGCCGCTCCAGCTGTTGACACTCGCCCGGGGTGCGTGGGAAGGCCGCACACGGTCGGGGAGGGTTGGTCTGGACCATCCAGGCGCGGAGGCGACGGCTGCAGGAGCCTCGGTTTTCCGTGGAGGTCAAAGAAGGCCACTGCCTACCTTCTCGACCTTACCGAGCTGCGGTCAGCCTCTCGTTTTAGGAGTCCAGTGCTCTTTTTACTGGCTCGAGAGTGCCCTGGCCACAGTGCTTGCCTAAGTAATTGCGAAGTTGCCTGCCAGCAAGAACATGGCCTGCTTGGCTTTGCTCACCCTTGGTCATAACTCCGAGTTCTCTTGACACCCCTGCCCCCCACCCGCCTTACAGGGCGATGCACATGCCAGTGTATTGAGATTGGTTCTTCTGGAGAGTCTGAGAATCTCTGAACCATGGTTTGGTTTGGTGTTTTGCGTTTTTAGTCTTTGTGTCTTCGGGTTTGCTAGAGGTTAAAGTAAATTATTTGGAAATGTTGCTACACTTTGAAAGCTTCTAAAGCAACATTGTGAACTGTCCATCGTTTAGTTTGGCTTTAAACATTTTTAGCCTTTGTAACTTTTAGTTTGCCAGTGGTTAAAGTTATTTGGGAATGTTGCTACATTTTAAAAGCTTCTAAAGCAACATTGTGACTTAGTAAATACTGTACTAAGACATCTGAAACGCGGGTGCGGGAGCTTTGAATGGATTTTAAAACAACCAAATTGTTTTTGTTTTCATTTGCCTTCCTTACCTGTAGAAATTGTTTTACTCTTCCCGTAGTTTTAATCTCGATTTCTTGTTCAAATAATTTTCATGCTGTCTTTGCTAAAATACAGTCTTGTTTCTACTGAGATTTGAGTGTTTGCTGTACCATTATGTGGAGGCTTCTGTTTTACGAGAAAGTTTTGAAAGGTGTTTCCTATTCCTTTTTGTTTCTTCCTTGCCCTTCTTCCCTTGCTATATTATGGTGGAAACTGCTTTACTGGAAGACTTTGCTTTTATTTTCAGACTTAGGTTTCTGGTATTTATCCTCAACTGTCTCACTCCTTAAAACCTCTGTCATGTTTTCTAAGGAAATCAAGGAGATCACGTTGTTGTGCATGCATGTTCATTAATGGCCCCATGACACTTCAGTTAGTTTTTACATTGGCTTTACCTGCACACTTGGCTGCTTAGCTTGTGGAAGTGGAGAAAGTATGCCTCATGCTAGAAGCTTGGTAGCTTGACAAGACGAGACAGAAAATTTGGCTTAATGTTCAAAAGTGCTCTAGAACATTAACCAGTTTGGGGTATTTGGCTTAAAAGCAAGTAGCTCCTATTCTAAGGAAATCTCCAAAATAACAAGAATCCTTTAAAGTGGTGGAAAGAGCACTGTAAAAGTAGGCAGACCTCTCTAAGCGTACCGATAGGTAGCCCTTGCCAAAATCTATTCACAGACACATTTTGTTCTACATTGTGTTTTGTTGTTGTTGCTGTTGTTTTTCAGTTTATGTAATTAATCGCCACTATCTTAAAATGAGAAATATCAGATACAATCTGAGTTCTTATTTTTTTCCCTGAATTATAGCTAGTCTTGCCATACATTTTCACCATCTGTAAACTGCTAGAGCTGTAAATGGCCACCTTCTTCAGAGTTTTGTCTCCAGTTTACCACAGTGTTGCTCATGTTCTGTAGCTTCGTGGTTGGTTGGTTTTCCACTTCAAGCAAAGATCTCCCTGCAGAAGTGACGTGAAGAGGGAGTTTACAGACTCTCTTTAATGTGTAAGGTTCTTCCCTCACTTGATGCCCACCTGCAATGCTCTTAAGACGTGGAGACAAAGTTGGGCATACTTGAAACTAAATGTGCTCTTGTAGCTTAAAACTTGGGTTATTCTGTGTGCTGGGTTTTTCATGTAGATGTGCTCTTAGACATTTTGTGTGGGTGTGTCTTTATCTTGAACTTTTTCTTCAGACTTTAAGCTACTTGTAAATGGCCAGCTATGCCTTTTCTTACCTGAGGCTTTTTGGACAGGCTGTTCCCTTTTATCTGGTCTAATGCTACTCAAACCCTCAGGGCTGAGTTGGATGGTGCTCCATTGTTTCCTCCTCTCCTACCCTATCCTAACTTAGCAGTGAATTTTAAGTTCCAATTTATTTGTACATATTTTCCCCAACTAGAGAGTAGCTGTTATCTTGCCGTACTGGACTACCTACGCATGTGCTGTGCCTAATACCTGTTAGGACTCATTTTGAACAAGTGTCTTTGTATGTTACTTTGAATTTGCCAGAGGTTAAAGTAAATTATTTGGAAATGTTGCTACATTTTAAACAGTTCTAAAGCAACATTGTGACTTGGTAAATCTTCAGACTGTCTTTTCTTTTGGTTTGGCATTTGAATTTTTAGCCTTTGTATGTTACTTTTAGTTTGCCAGCGGTTAGTTATTTGGAAATGTTGCCAAGTGTGTAAGGAGATTCTTAAAATACTGCCCCCCCCCCCACACTGGTTTTTAACTTCTTAGTTAACGGCTTTAGGCTTTTGATTGGCTCAAAACTCTGAAGTCTTCCTCTCTGTGCTGCTGCCCACCTTTAACATGCTCTTGTGTCTACTCTCCTAACTGCCTGGAGTTTCCTTTCCGGGGTTACTGTGCTAGGTCTCGGTTGAGTTCCTTACCCGTAGCCCACTTGCCTTTACACATTTCAGAAGTTAGAATGTGCTTTTGAACATGTTACACACTTGTTCAGAATTGTTGACCTCCGTTACGTTCAAGTGCAGGATGGCTTTACCCTGGCCTTCCTAATTTGGTTTCCTGAATGTATTTATTAGGCCCCGCAGTATCTTTCCTACTACATCAGTCACATCCCACAAACAGATGTTGCTTGTTTCAGAACAAGTGTGACCCTGGGCACCAAGGCTTAAATGACATAAAAAGATTTAAGTTGAAGGTGGTATCAGGTATGTCTGGAGAGAGGAGTTGTTTTTAAGCCAGGGTTTTTGTTTTTAGACAGTCTTAGTCTACATCCTGGACTAGTCTTAAACTTGTAGCTTAGCTGTCCTGGCTCAACTACCCTAGTGTGGGGTTATAAGTACGGGCCAGCACACATGGCCATTGATGAGTTTTAAATAGGAAAGTAACACTTGGCTTGAATTTTAGAAACTTTGCTTTGTCCGGGAAGGGAAGAATGAGACCTAAGGTAAGAGAGAAAAGCAGGAAGGCTGGTTTAGTCAGTCCATTTAAGAGGAAATACACATTTGGATTAGGATGGATGCTATGTGAGCAGAACTGAAAGGACAGAACTGGCAGGACCTAGCACCTCACTGTGTGATTGTAGGAATGTTAAGGAAGTGGGGCGAATCCTCTCAGGTTGGCTTGCAGGTAGTCACTGAACTTTGGGATGGAGAGGAGTGGCATAATGAAATATTCGGAACATGTTGGTTTTAAAAGCCTTTTGGATTGTCAAATTTCTCCAGTTGGCAGCTCAGATTCGATACTTGATGCAGCAGATTTGGAAGTCTGAGTAGAACTAGATGGAGTCTGTGTCTGTAGAAAGACTTACGTATGAGTCAGGTTTGATGGTACAGACCTGTTGTCCCAGCTGCTCAGGAGACTACTGCAGGAAAATTAAACTTTGAAGCCCAGCCTGGACAACTTTCCTAGGAACTTGTCTCAAAATAAAAAGTAATAGAGGACTGAGGCTGTATAGTCAGTAGTAGAGTGGAGTGCAGACCGAGTGTGCAGGAGCTCTCGGGTTCAGTCTACATTATTGACAAAAACACACAGGACTATTTGTGGCAGGTTTGTCCAGCTTCAAACAGTAATCTAAATGTGTGTCGGTCCATCGGTCACCAACAAGGACGCGAATGGATTGGGATGTAGTGGCCTGGCGGGCTAAGAGAGAGCGCCGGTTACTGATGCACACGGTGGAGTGGCCACACGGCTCACAGAGCCAAGCTGAAACAGCGTGCGCTGTGCACCTGCGCTTTCACAGGGTTCCAGGGGCGCAAAGGGATGTGGCCATTGGCTGTTACAAAGACAGGCGCTTAGGTTAGCTGTGCTGTCGTAAGCCTCGGATCAGAGCGTATGAGAAGTGAAGGCAGAAGGATCATGAGTGAAGGTCACTCTTAGCTACATGGGGAGTTTGAGGCTCTGAAAGAACAAAACCAGAGACCTTTTACTGACTTGATTGTGCTAATGGTGTCCTGTGTCTGTATATGTTAGGTATTATCAGATTATACAACTTAGAGCTGTGCAACTGATTGTTGAAGAGCTGTTATTACCAGTATAGCCATCGTCTTAGATTCTACTACTGTTCCACCGCGCTGCTTTGTCACATGCCTATCCACTCTTCCCTCCCGTCACTCTGTTGTTCTGAAACGGTGTCTCACAATGGAGCCGGGGACTCACTATGAAGCCCTGCAGGTTTCAGACTTGTGACAATGGTCTTGTCTCAGCCCCATCCTCTCCAATGATGAGCTAACAAGTATGAGCTGCTCTGTCCAGCTTATCTGATTTTTATTTTTTTAAGACAGGGTCTCTCTACGTAGTTCTGGCTGTCCTGCAACTCACTATGAAGACCAGGCTTGCTCCACCTGCCTCTGCCTTCTGTGTACTGGGATTAAAGGGGTGCATCACCATACTTGGCACTTATTTGATGTTCTGAAGAATTTTATAGTTACAGATATAAGCATACTTTGTTCCTGAATGCTTCAAACTGTGTCAGTAACTAGAAATCAATATCTTTTTTACAGTTCTTTTTGTCTTTATAAGACGTTTATATGTAGTGGAACATACAGATGTTATTTAATGAATGTATACTATCAAAGTTGTACTGAAGTGTAGATCATTACCATGGCTCTTCAAGTTCCCTTCATGCCATTCTAGTCAATTT